ATATATATATATACACACACACACACACACACACACACACACACACACCAGTATATATTATTTTTTGTCCCTTTATTGGATCTTTAAATCAAATTCAATTGTATTGGGATTTTTGTTCAGGATGCTCATGGTCAATAACCCCATCACTACGCACCGAAAACTACAAATGAAGTTCAGCAGAAAACTGATTCTCCTGCTTGAGTCTCTTGGACTCCTTTCGGCTTGGTGTTCTTCCATTGCTGAGTTTATTTCAAAATATTATGAAAATAAGACTATACACACTTCTCACAAACAACTTCCTTGAAAAACAGACTGAGCTTTTCACCATCCAGTACATTATGTAAGACATAAACATTTGTTAATAATAATTTAGATAACCTGACAACACCAGCCACACTTAATAAATTATTCATGACCCTGATGAGAGGCACCCCACACACACCTCTTTTGAACCCAACCCAAGCATGATCTCGATTGGATGCAATCTGTGATGGGTGGTTTCTCTTGGGAGGGAGGAGAAATCAAGTGACTGTTCCCCACGTGCATTTGTTCACACCGCCATTCTGGCAGGATGGGAGCGATATTGGCAGGTGTCAGATTTAAAATGGAGAGCAGTGATACAAAAATGTATTATCAGTCAACATTCTGCCCAAGTGAATTCACATTTTCACTTTGATTAAAATGGAAATGATGACCAACTTGCGCAAGCTAGACAGGTTGGATATTATGAGAACTCAGTCTCACACCCAAACTCCACATTCACAATCCTGATTGACAAGAACAACTGAATGACCCAATCAACTCGATTTAGTTACTTGTAGGGCGGCACTGTGACCATTTGGTTAGCATGTCCGCCTCACAGTTCAGAAGTACAGGGTTCAATTCCGTCTCCAGCCTTCCTGTGTGGAGTTTGCATGTTCTCCTCGTACCTGCGTGAATTTTCTCCGGGTACTCCGGTCTCCTCCCACATTCCAAAAGCATGCATGGCAGGTTAATGGAACACACTAAATTGTCCCCGCGTGTGATTGTGAGTGCGCATGGTAGGTTCCAGCACCTCTGCTACCATTGTGAGGATAAGGGGATTCGAAAATCAATGAATGGATGGTTACTCATAGCACTTGTAGTTCCCAAAAAAGACATCATAGAACAAATGAACCAAATGAAAAATTCACAAAGTCATTGTCACTTCTCTCTTTCAAATGTATCGGCATGAAGCCTACACCAGTGCTTTGACATGGCGTATAAATCCACGGAAAGGTTTTACAAAAGATCACGGTCATTTATTGTTGGTTTTCAGCCTTTCTGCTTACATGCAGTGATTTCTCCAGATTCTCTATTTTTGGAATGGACATTCATCCATTTTCAACACCGCTCATCCTGATCGAGGTCGCGGGAAGTTGCTGGACCCTATTATCCCAACTGACTACAGGCAGACTACACCCTGAACTAGTCGACAGTCAGTCGCAGGGCACATATAGCGACAAACGTCCATTCACATCCACATTCACACTGTCACTGAGTGGGATTTTTGGAACGTGTTAGCTATAAAAGTGAATCATTATTATTATTATTTTCATCAGTTCGAGAATTACAGATCTTGTCTTTGTAGTGTATTCAATTAAACATAGGTTGAATCCATCCATCCATTTTCCGATCCGCTTATCCTCACAAGGGTCGCGGGGGGTGCTGGAGCCTATCCCAGCTGTCTTCGGGCAATAGGCGGGGGACACCCTGAATCGGTTGCCAGCCAATCGCAGAGCACACAGAGATGAACATCCATCCACGCTCACACTCACACCGAGGGACAATTTAGAGTGTCCAGTCAGCCTGCCATGCATTTTTTTTGGAATCTGGGAGTACCCTGAGAAACCCACGCAGGCCCGGGGAGAACATGCAAACTCCACACAGGGATGCCGAAGCTGGAATTGAACCCGGTACCTCTGCATTGTGAGGTCGACGCACTAACCACTGGATCACTGGGCCGTGCCCTATGGGTTCAATATGATTTGCAAATCAGTGAATTCTGTTTTTATTTATGTTTAACACAACGACGCAACTTCATTGTAATTGGGTTTGTAGTTTTAAAAAAAAGATCCCGCGCCATACTCTGGCCAATAGCAGACTTGATGTTTTTTTTTTTTCTCTTCCCATTTTAAAACCATCTATGTTGACCTCGCCTCTTCCTATTTTAGTGCTAAGCTAGTGCGTCACATACAGGGAGATGGGATGTGCGATCCAGACATTCCCTACTGACAACATGATGCAATGACCGTTATCACTTGAAAGGGAAAATTCTCATTTGCAATGTTTTCTGTCCTGCCAAAATGGCACGGTTTACATTTGGCATATGCATTGTGGGATGCATGACGTCAATGTCAGCAAGACTGTTGTTGATGTAATCCAGGGACACACACCCTGAGTAGTTGTGTGTCTTGTTACTGAGTCAAGCACTTGATGGTTTGATTCAAAAGTTCATTTAAAACTTGACAACGTTGATCATGAGGTCATTGAAATAGGCAATCACCATTTTTTTTTTTTTTGTGGAGGGGAGTATTGAATACATTAACGATTCATCCGTCCTGTGATTTTCCCCCAAGATAAAGTTGCTGTGTCGTTGGGCTGCTTCTTTTAGACAACAATGGCGTATATAGCTATTAAAAAAAAAACAACCAAAAGAAAACAACCTTCCTTTGACAGTTTCTTTAAAAAAACAAAACCAAAAAAAAAACCCCTTTATGACCCTGATTCCATCCCATCCTGTAAACTGGTCATTATTTCATATACCATACAGTGGTCAAATTGCAGTATGACCATCACTGTCACTAAATCTCAGATGACTGTCTCTTTGTCGCTTGATAGGTGGAGGATGAACTCCACTCTCCTGTGGTGCTGCTCAAGTATTCTCAGGAAATTACTGCAGGTAAGCGGTGTCATCATCTAATATGATGTCCACAAATGTCATTAAGAAAACAACTTTTCCATTCAAAAAAAAAACACAGAACAGCAAGGATATCCTTATTTTAAGTTAAAACAGTAAGAGACCATATGGGTCTTTTTTGGGTTTTTTTCAGGCCAATGACGATTACTAATTGTTAAGGAGGCTGATAACCAATATTTACAGGTGACATTCATTTGCAGTATTAAGGAAAATATCGGCATCAAAATTAAATGGAAAAAAAAAAAACAACTTTTAACTTTGGTGACATGTGATTAAGCAAGTTAAACATGTTGAGTGTTGTTCTTGTACAGGCAGCTTCCACGGTCATTGGCATGACCTGAATTAAATGAACAGGCAAACACGTAAATTGCTCGCTAAAAGATTTTTTAAATATATGTATTAGTTTTCCAAAATGACTGTCACCTATTTCTGTTTTAATTTCAAACAAAAACAAAAGGTACAAGAATTCCCAGTAAAAAAGTCTATTTGGAAAAAGGTAGAATATCAATGCCAATAATCGGCCAATTATTGGCCAAATAATTTTTGTTTACAAACATGGTCCAAGTATTAATTCCTGCTTTGCATTATGTTCTATCATTATTCCCAACAGTTGTCAATAGTTACTGTTGCCATGTCCATGTTGGTACTTTAATTGTCCCTTCTAAAAATGTTTTATCATGCACTCCCCTCCGAAAGAATACGAACAATGAGGCCAATTTCTTCATGACTGCTGTAGACTTGAAAAAAAATATTTGATTATAAAAATAGTAGGAGACAAGCAATCGACATTTCAGTTTGTATTTTCTCTATCTGATACTCAATCAATTGTTTGAACCTATCCATTTTTATGCTAGTAAAACTTTAGGATCGTGTGACTGACATGTTTGTTTTGTCACCCAGGTATGTACAATTACAATTATTATTTCAACAATAAATAGTGCGAAATGTCCATGCTTAGTCTCAGACTTGGCTTTTGCATTTGAAGACGATTTTTTTTAGAGGTATAACCAGTATGGAAACCTGACAGCTATTTTGGGCTAAAAAACAAGTCGTCGTTAACCTGAGAAAAGATGGGAAATCAATCATTCAGCAAAAACAAGTCGTCGTTAACCTGAGAAAAGATGGGAAATCAATCATTCAGCAACAACTTTTAGAGGGCGGGATTGGCATTTTCTTTCAAAGAATTGGGGTGTTTTGTTATAAACAATACTGTACTATCTTTCAAGATACTAAATCCAGATGCAAAAACCTAGAAATATACACTTTTGTCTAATGTTCATCACAAATCCAAACATATACAGCAAAACGAGTCACTTCTCTATTTCTTTTTGAGGGGCATGTATACTGTGATAAACAAATTGAAATCCCTCTGTCCTATTTGTTAGCATCCAGCAGTGGTTCAGTGGATGCTTACTGTGCTGGGGAGAAGGAGGTACTCGATGCAATCAATAGATGGGTATGTGATTTGCTGTGTTATTTGTTTTCATTATTGAATAAGAGGTGGTACAGGGGTCACCAACCTAATGAAGTTGAGCGCTCCTTCTTGGGTACTGATTAAGGCAAAGGGCTACCAGTTTGATATGCCCTATTTCTAAAATACGAAATTATCTCAAATTATGAATGTTATTATCGTGTTTTTATTAATAATTGATAGTCATTTATGTGACAACACACATGTTAATGATTTGTCACAAGGATCAGGAAGGACATGCATATCAATAAACAACACTGTTTCTGTAAAGCTCTGCCCATGATCATGTTCTCTACACCCAATTCCTATGCAGTTGGGACTTTGTGGGAAACAAACAAAACCAGAACTTGATGATTTAATTGAATGCATGACAAAGATATTTAATGTTCAAACAGATTTATTGTTATTTTTTTTTTTAGAAATTACATTATAAATATAAATAGTTTTCATTTATTTATTTATTTTTTAATTAGTGTCCTGCACAACTTCCAGGCCTCATTATGTCTAAATATCAATGGTCAAATGTAGGCGTAATAGTTTTTTGTAGCACTTTCCCACGTGCAAATCATATGAGCTCCCAATTATAAGGGATTATCGCTGTCAAATAAAGAACATGTTCATTGCAAACTCGTAAATTACAATTTTCTTCTGTCGGTTTGTCGCTCACATTATGGTTAATTATATGAGGTGTTTTTTTTTTTTTTTTTTTTTTTTTTAATTGTAGCTTGGCAAGCAGCTTGCCCAGATGGTTCCTGCCAGTGGGGTCGATGTTGTGGAGCTTGAAGATGAAGGCACCTGTGTTCGGTTTAGCCCTCTCCTAACGGCTGCAGGTAACAGAATTGCACATACACACCCTGGCAAGGCTCAATGTGTTTTTATTTGTTATTGCTTGTGGGTAAGCATGACAGTGTTTCTAGTGAGGTTTAAAAAATACCACATTAAAGGGGTGTTTTTGAGCATCGTCGTTCAAGTGTTCATTTTATATTTACACAAATCAACTTAGTGTGCCAATTACACAATTCTTGTTCTTGTACAGATTTAGGAACTCAACCTGAGGATGTTGACAATCTGGTTAAGAAGTTGTTGGAGCTTGTTCCTTTGATGACCTCCACAATGTCCTCCAGACAGGACTTCAAAGAGGAGACCCACCAACGCTCACCCTACCTCAGATACGTAGAAGAGCTTAGCTGGCCAGGCCTCGGAGCCGTCCGGTAAGGCGTAATGCAGGACATTTTTTTAAAGGTGCTTGAAGCGTAGCTACAGTTTTTGCGCAAGAGCATACAGTGTTATACCATGGTTTTACTTCATTTTGATTGGCTCATAAAGTTACTTTGGCGTACAGTATCAGCTGATAATATACACCCTTGGTTCCTGTCCAAAAAAAAATTACACTATTCCATAGCAATCCAGAGCACCGTTTAGCAGGTAGGATTAACACAGCAAGCTTACAAGTCAGATGTTCTGATAGTCAACATGAAGTATTCTGAGGAAAGAAATGAGCAAATGTAAATGAGTGACTCTAATTTAATTTCATTACCTTAACTAAAGTTGGCATTGTTAGAATTTGGACAATTCCGGATCCAATTCCGGCTTCTCAATTCGATTTTGGTTCCTCAGCGTTCTCAATTCCGATTCATGAAGTTTGCATGGTTTAAATGAGGACAAGTCAGATGTTCTGATAGTCAACATGAAGTATTCTGAGGAAAGAAATGAGCAAATGTAAATGAGTGACTCTAATTTAATTTCATTACCTTAACTAAAGTTGGCATTGTTAGAATTTGGACAATTCCGGATCCAATTCCGGCTTCTCAATTCGATTTTGGTTCCTCAGCGTTCTCAATTCCGATTCATGAAGTTTGCATGGTTTAAATGAGGGAGCTAGCCAGTTTATATATATATAAAAAAAAAAATAAAATCCTCGTCTCACCCCTCGGGTGGTGTCCATCCCTCATTCAGCTCGGGTCCTCTACCAGAGGCCAGGAAGCTTGAGGGTTCTGCGCAGTGTCCTTGCTGTTCCCAGCACTGCACATTTCTGGACTGAGATGTCCGATGTTGTTCCCGGGATCTGTTGCAACCACTCATCTAGTTTGGGGGTTTTTGCCATTACCATCTTGTCAGTCTGGATCTGGAAGTCCCACAGGATCTTCGCTCTGTCATTCTCCACCACCTTCGGAGGTGTTTCCCATTTTGACCTTGGGGTTTCCAGTCCATACTCCGCACAGATGTTTCGGTAGACTATGCCAGCCACCTGGTTATGGCGTTCCATGTAGGCTTTCCCTGCCAGCATCTTACACCCTGCAGTTATGTGGTGGATCGTCTCAGGTGCCTCTTTGCACAACCTACACCTTGGGTCTTGTCTGGTGTGGTATATCTGGGCCTCAATGGCTCTGGTGCTCAGGGCCTGCTCCTGAGCAGCCAGGATGAGTGCCTCTGTGCTGTCCTTCAGTCCAGCCCCCTCCAGCCACCGGGGCCGATAATGA